ACACAGAAAAAGACACTGTGTGTGTGTGTGTGTGTGTGTGTGTGTGTGTGTGTCTGCACATGTCTGCATGTGTGCTTGCTTGTTTTTTTTTTTAGAACACCATCTGTGCATAAGCTGATATGTTGTGTTACGAATTACTTTCTACACATCTGGTTTACTCTGTAGTACTACAACTCACGGAAATTACAGAGAGTGAGACAGATAATGTATCCTCTGGCTCCATATGAGAGATGATAGTGTATGCTTTCTCACACAGGTTGTTCCTCTTCTGCCATCTGCTGCAGTCATGTGTGTGCAAAAAGATAAAAGCAAATCAGTCCTATGTAATCCTTTGCTGGTAATTCATATACATTGATGGTCTAGCTTGTTCGTTTTCTAACTCACCTGCATTTTTAAAGCAGTTTAAAAATTAATTTTAGGTTATGACTCTGCAGTTTGTGTTGTAGATAAAATGTGAACAATGTTAACGATTTAATTCATTTTACACATAAATCAGAAAGCAGTGTTATGAAAGCACACAGGTAACCAGTGGTTAACATTTATGGCAGGACTGATGAGTTTCATTGTGAAATTTTGCAGAAGTTATCTATCTCATAATTTTAAGATTATTCTAAACTGTGTGTGTGTTTGTTTCCACAGTATCCTCTGCTGCTGGGTCTCTCTCTGGCCATCAGCTGGTGTGTCCTAGTGTGTTTGAGCCGCATATACATGGGCATGCACTCCATACTGGTAAGACAAATTAAAATAACTGAAACATAAAACTTATTATTTTTATTAAATAATAAACAATTTAAAGATTTTTAGATACACACAGGGCTGTACATTAACTTTTTTTGCATATAGCACTGCAACCCTCTACACACACCTTGGAAATATAATCGCCATTGGCTAGTAAATTTTTTAGTTTACTCGCCAGACTGATATACTATACTATTTAACATACACATACACACATACATATATATATATGTATATGTATATATAGTATATATATATATATATATATATATTATTTGATTGTATTTTTAGTATTATCTTAATTATTATTTTAAATAATATTATACTATTTATATATTATATTATTTTT